TAATCGTCCCCCCCCCCCTAAAAAAAAGTGAATATTGATAAGTCAATCTAAAACTCGGCCTGGAGCCAGAAGAATAGTATGTTTGGTGGAATTCCTATAGAATAGTATGTGGAGGAGGGTGATGGAAAATGAAGCTGGAGAAGCAAATTGAGGTCAAATCATACTAGGGCTCAATCACCTTACTAAAGAATTTGTAATTTAGTCTGGAAGTGCCAGGAGTGCTGTTGAAGTGTTTCTTACAGCAATGTTTCTTGATCAAACTTTATGGTTATGTAGTTGTTTCAATTAGAATATTTTCTGCAGCAAATTACCTAACAAAAAAATATGTCATCTCTTATAACAGCAAGTCTATAAGCAGGGGGTACTTCTGGCTCAACTGATTCAGAAGGTCACTGATGTTATAAACTCTTTCTGTTTTCCCCTGCTATTTTCAGCTTTATAAGGCTGTCTTACCTGGAGATCATAAAATGGCTATGACAGCATACATCCTGGTTCACATCCAGCAGGAGAAACTAGCTTCTCTTTCTCAGAAGCCAAAAGAAAGCCTCTCTTTACCTCCCATTGGCCCAGTTGCCTCACACTAGCCCATCTCTGAACTGAATAATGGCAAAGGGGATGGGGCTGCCATGAGGATTTAGATAAATGTGGAGTAGAGTAGTTTTGAAAGAGTCAATCATAGTGTCCCCATGATTCAGCAAAATAGAGATAGAATTGGAGAAAAATAAGGCTAGAGATAGGGATAATTAGGTGTTTGCCCCAACAGGCCACATGACAGCCTAGTGCGGAGTACCTAAAACTTGAACAACAAAAAATAAAGAGAAGAGGATACATTTGAAAGATATTTAGGAAGTTTATTGATGTTTTATATATCAGTTTCACACTCGATGTTGCTAGATAACATAGGTCTTAGTTTCATTAAAATTAGTTTCATAAACTGCATCTCCTTTATTTCTAATCCCTATATTGCTATACATATAGCAATAACTATTGAGCTTAGGTTTAAATACTGATCTGTATTTCACTTAATTATAAAATTCTTCAAAATGTCTATGCACATTCAGGTTTTTGTGTGTGTGTGTGTCTGTGCTAACGCTCAGCTATGAACTTAAAAACAAAACACGAAAAGAAAAAACACAAGAGTTTTACTCAGGAAAAGAAAATGACACTGTTTCCATTAGAATGCCTTCTGCAATGACGCCCCAAAATCTTAAATGTGAGCCAGGTAGCTCTCCACTCCAATGGTTGTTCAGATATTTCTCCTTCTGACCTAGAACATGAAGTTAGAGAACCCAAGAGGAATTTTGGACTCACTAGAGTCCAGCAAAATGTAAAGTTATTTTATGTAGAACAATATTTTAATTTAATATGGTTATTGTAATCTATCAAAATCGCTGGTTTTTGATGGGCCTTTGACTCCCCCAGGACAGAGTAGGTGCGATCTTTTCATTATGGTTTCAACTGGTCACATTCTAAGTTTACATGTTTGTTTATTTGTTTGTTTGTTGCTGTTACTTTATCTTGTTTTAATTCAAAAGCTCAGGTCATGTCTCTTATTTTAGAGTATAATAATGATCAATTTTCTATCACTTACCTCACTCCAGGTTTCTCACTGTCGGAATGCCACACCTCCACCACTTCATAATTTACAAAGAACCAGTGTGACTCCATTCAAGAACAAAAGATTAATTGTGAATTAGTGAAGAATTGTAATTTTTTTCAAGCTACCTCATGAGAAATGCATTCTAATGAAGTCCTTTCTGGTACTTCTTTTTCCTACTTCTTCAATAAAGAGTGCAATTTGACCACACATTGACTCTTTTATTTCAAAGCTATTCTGAGTTGACATGGATAAATACAGTCAGTTGGAGGAACGCAGGACGGTCAAGTTGAATGCCCACTTTATTTCAAGTGAGAGGAGATTGGCCTGAGTGAAGGGGGTCCATCTGAAAGAAGGAAATACCCTGACTTTGGAAGCAGGCATAATGCCAATGTAGCAATAGCAAGATTATTGCTCTCCCTGTGCTTTTATTTCACCTACAAAACAGAAGTAATAGTCCTGAGCCCACAGAGTAGATGCAAGGATTAAATGACAATATTACATTTAAAGGACTTAGAACAGCACTTAGCTTATGGTAATCCCTTAATAAATTATTATTATTTATCCCTTATTAACTCTGGTCATTATATCTGTAGCATGATGCTATAGGAGGCCTGATGCACTGTTTCCTATTTTCTAAGAATTGGTGACGAGAGTCCACCTTTGAAAGCAGAAGATATGCCCAACATTCTAAGTTAAAAAAAAAAATCACTTGAGAGCTTTCTGCAGAGTGCTGTTATGGGTAGAATTGGGTCCCCTAAAAACGATATATTAGAGTCCTATTCCCCAATACCTCAGAATATGACCTTATTTGGACATGGAGTCTTTATAGAGGTAAAATCAGGTCAACAGGTGGGCCTTATTCTAATGTGACTGGTGTCCTAATAGAGGGGAAATTTAGATACAGAGAGGGACATATACAGTGGGAAGATGGAGTAGAGACATGTAGGAAAAACATCACATGAAGATGGAGGACTGGAGTGATACAACTACTAGCCAAGAAATGCAAAAAATTGCGGGCAACTTTACAGAAGCTAGGAAGACAAAAGGAAGGCTCCTTCTCCTATAGGTTTTAGAGGGAGCATGACCCCACCAGTACCTTCATTTAGGACTTCCAGCCTCTAGTACAGTGAGACATTGGTGTCTTTATAGGAATTGCATTGAATTTATAGATTGCTTTGGGTAGTATGGACATTTTAATGATGTTAATTCTTTCAATCCATGAACCCGATATGTGTTTCCACTTATTTGGATCTTCTTCAATTTCTTTCTTTGGTGTCTTATAATATTTTGAGTAGAGAACTTTTACATCCTTGGTTAAATTTATTTCTAGGTTTTTATTCTTTTTTAATCAATTATGAATGGGAATGTTTTCTTCGTTTCCCTTTCTGTCAGTTCACTATTGGTGTATAAAAATACAACTGATTTCTGTATATTTATTTTATATTCTGCTACTTTACTGAATTCATTTATCAGTTTTAGTAGTTTTTGTTGGATTCCTTAGGGTTCTCTAAATAGAGTACTATGTTATCTCAAGGGCAGTTTTACTCCTTCCTATCCAATTTGAATGCCTTTTATTTTTTCTTCTTATCTGATTGCTTTGGCTAGGACTTCCTACTGGTGAATAAGAGTGGCAGCATATGAGGCAAGAAATAAGACAACCTCTTTCATAAGAAATCCCAATTGGTTGATGATGGGTCCTGGGAACCAAGACCTAGTTGGATAGTGGTATAAATACTTTGCAGTATTTTTGTGCACTGATTAGCACATTTGAATCTCACAATCTTACTCAAGTAAGATTGTGAGATTTGAATCTCAAGTCCCCAGAAATGAGTACATAAAATTAGAAGAGGACCAAGGGAAGTGCCATATTGGGGAGCAAAGCTTGAGGCACAAGAGGAGAAAGAGGAGCTATTGTAGAAGAATGAGGAGGGCATGTGGAGTCACTGGAGCAGAATCAGGAGACTGTTTTAAATTAAGAGTGGATTGTTGGGTCAAATCCTGCAGAGGTCAAGAAAGATAAGGAAAGAAAAAGAACCATTGAGCTTGGCAACATTGGGGGCGGGCATTGATGACATTGTCTTTGGAATGAGGAATGAAGGTGTTGGAGAAAGTAAGATTGAGAGTAGTGTTTGCTAAGGTGAAAAAAAACACACAAAACAAAACAAAACAAAAAAAACCTGTCTTCTGACCTTAATCACATTGTTTTCCCACCACGTCTCTGCTTCTTCAAGGAGCCCTGGACTGGCCTCCTGGAGTTTTGGTCTTGCCTGTGCTCCTAGCTGGCTTGATAACACTGAGAATATTTCTGCCCGCTCTACCTCGGTGTTTGCATTTATCCATAGAACTCCAAGGTCTCTTCTAGCTTTTATGTGTCATTGTTTTAAAGAGAATTGGAGTAAAGGGAGGTGTGCAGAGTAATGACTTGTGGGATGATGCAGAACAAGCACACAATTTTATTGCCTACTGGGTGGAGGCAGTGAGCTATCACCCCAAGTTGATGAAGGAGCCTTTGGGGATAAGGGCCTAGCACACAGAACTAACAGAGTAGGTAGTAGGATAAGAAAGGGTCCCTTTTCCAACTAGCCCCATGGTGATTTCAGCAGCACAGGTGGGAGGTATCCCTCTCTGGAGAAGCACCAGGTGTCAGAAGATGCTTTCTCTGAGATGATGCACATGTAGGAGGTAAGACACATCTGGAGTGTCTATGTTAACTCAGAGGTCAGTAAGTCAGGAAGGAGGCTCTAAGAAAAGGGTGTAAGATCAACATGGAGGATTGGAGATCTGTGAAGAGAGAAGATGTCAAATTGGATGGGGCAGTGAGAGGCAACAATAGGAGACAGGGCCAGACTTACTCTGACAATCCAGCCTTCCATGAATGGTCCAAATAAGCCAACCCCTTATGGGGAGCTCAGTGTACTAATATTGGGCTCAGCTTACAAAACAGATAGGTGGAGGGCTGGTCTAAATCAGCTTATTACTTGCTCCATCTGTCATTTTTGTTGACTGTCATTTCCTAAGGCCTGTTAAGTTCTAGAAAATGCACTGGAGGCCTTGGAACCTCAGCCATTCCTGACTAGATGATGGGCAGCCTACGGCTCTCTAATCAGAAAAGATGTAGGTGCAGAAAAAGACAGAGCTATGAACAGCAAGCTATTGAGAGGAAACTTCTTAGGTAAAGTCAGAGACTAAAAATACTTTTTAGTAAAATAAGTTTGTATTTAGTAATAAAATAACAAGTCATTGCCAGGCTATGTAGCAAAGGAAAATATGATGGCACCTGGAATTGAGAGATTATTTCTATTATTTGCACATAACATTTAGGGAGCCAGTTGGCCATCATGGATAACAATATGTAAATGAAAGTGTGCAAATTTAGAAGTTGAAGATATAACCATTTCTCTTTAAATGAGTCACTATCCTTTATTTAATGAAGATACAATAGCCTCATAACTTTGGAAGATATCTTAAGACAATGTTTATTCTTGAGTAACATTGCACTGGTGCTAACAGCATATAAAAAAAAAAACCTAATAATTTTAGTGGATGACTCTCTCCAAAGTTCTTCTCAAAATTGTGGTTTGTTATTGCACTAAAAAACAACAATATAAAAACCACACTACCTCCTTTAATGTTCCAACAAACGCTGCCTCCTCAACCAGGCTTGTTTTCTGCTTCCCCCTTCACTACCAGAATAAATCATTTCCCTCTCTGATCTCTCTGTACTATCCCCACATTCTGCCTTTAATGTTAAAGAAAACTGCTTGCATATTCTTCTCTTGTGAGGCAGAAGTTCCTTGAAGTCAAGGACTTTGCATGTTCCATGTTCACCCTCTTCCTGCCATGAATAGAGTTTTGAACATATTAAATGCTCAGTGCACTTTTATTCAGTGAGTGAATGATTGGGAGAATGAAGCTGGGGTTGTCTAGACATTTGTTTCAGTAGCTCATAAGCTCACACAGGTAAGCACATGAATATGTGCACTGGACATCCCACAGGTGGATGTCCTAGGGAGGACCTCTTTGCTCAAATCCACTTTAAAGTCCTGTCCCCTTTTAAATGGAGGAACAGCATGATTAACCAAGCTGAAGTGAATGAAGTCCAAGGTGCCAGCAGTTGGAGAGACACATTCCTTAGTTTGTCAGGGAAGGAAAAAGCTGAGTTTCAGAAGCCCAGAAAGGGAGTTCTATTTTGGTTCCAGGGAACGACGCTTCTAGAACCTTTGGCTTATTTGGAATCCTGGACCTCACTGGAATAAGACGGTGGTGAGTTCACTGGTTCTGGATTGGCCACTGGGTTTGTCACGTAGACAGTTTGGAAGACCACAGTACCCTGAAAAAGACAGGCACAGGAGGTGCATTAGTGCAAACTATGTATGCACAAAGGCCTTTAGACATTCTGGGATTCCCTGTGCACCTGCGTGGGAAGGGGTAGCCAGACGACCTCATTAGTTCTCATACTCTTTGGGGCATCTTTCCACCCACTGAGGATCCTAAAAACTCACCTTGTTATGTGAATAGCGGACCAGTTTGCAGCCAAAGTGGGCAGACATGCAGGCAATGCAGAACTCCAGGAGGATAAAGATGAACAGCATGGCAGAAGTAGCTACTCCAGAGGCCTGAAACCAGGAGGAGCACGGACATCATGAGGGCTGCCCGGGAGTGTGAGGTCTGGCTCAAAGCATGGCTCTGCAATGGACCATGGTTAGGGCTTTAAGGAAGACCTCTAACCTCATCTCACCCTCATGGAGAAATGATCTCACCAGGTTTTGTAAGGGTCAAGTGTGTTTGTAAAAGAGTTATTTTAACACTACCTGTGTTGTTCTAAGGAAAAGAATAGTCATTGTTTAGGGAAACGCGTTAATGATTTGTTTCAGGTACAGGGCACAAGAACTAAGGATGGGGTCTGGAGTAAGTAGTAAAAGAGTGAAACTGTTCCATGTAGGAAGTGAATAGAAATTTGGGAATATGGGCAGTCCTCAGAAAGAGCAAAGAAAGATGAATAGAGGAGAAAGACGGGACTTAGAAACATGAAGGGAAAGTGGAATCTGCAAAGAAAGGTATCTTATGAGAAATTAACACATTACAAAGCAGGGATGTCTAACCTCCAGGCATCAGTAGTTACCTCCACCATTCCTCCAAACGTTTAGAGAAAGTCAGTTACTAAAACAATCTTCCTGGCTTGTGACTGTGGCATTTTGAGGATAGAAGCAATTGGGACTGTCTTTAACTTGGGTAAACAGTCAGTAAAAGGATCCTTAAATGGAACTAATTCAGCAGTAGTCAATTTCAGGTGAGCACCAGGAGACATCTAAGCCCTTCCTTTGCTGTTCTCCAACAATGCTCAGGAAAATGCAATCTCCCACTGTATCAGGGGTGAGTTTAGGTAGAATCCACCTTAATCAAGAAAGGAAAAGAGATGAATGACCTCAATAACCATTTGGATTCCAACTACAGGAGAGAATAAATATGAAAGTGAGCCCTAACTGGTTTGGTTCAGTGGATAGAGCATCGGCCTGCGGACCAAGGGGTCCCAGGTTCAATTCCGGTCAAGGGCATGTACCTTGGTTGCAGGCACATCCCCAGTGGGGAGTGTGCAGGAGGCAGCTGATTGATGTTTCTCTCTCATCAATGTTTCTAACTCTCTATCCCTCTCCCTTCCTCTCTGTGAAAAAATCAATAAAATATATATTAAAAAAATATATATGAAAGTGAAAGTGTATGGCACACAGTAGGCACCAAACAAATGTTTGTCAATTATGATTTTTACAATGGCATTGGTGATAGCTGCCTGCTCAGAGAATCCTCCCTCGTGGAGAGACCCCTCCTTAGCACTTTCCTTCTCTTCCCTCTTGATTTAGCAAGCACTTATTAAACATCTGTTTGCTACGAAAGACTGAGAAAGCATCCCTAGAGGCACAATCTGGTGAGGGAGGCAGATACAGATGGAGGTAGTCATAATTTAAATCAGACTTAGTAAGAGCTATAAAAGAGCCAAAATAGGGCATGAGGAGACACAGATTCATTCTCAGTAGAAGATTCAATGATGTGGGGTTGGTGTCTAGGCAAAGGGAACGGCAGGATGGTGATGCTCTAGTCAAGGAATCACAGAAGCATGGGGAGGAGGAGCCTTTACAAATGATGCTGGTCCTTTTCAAATCTGTTTTTTAAACAAAAACAGTTTTATAAAGAAAGCTTCTAATAGGAGGAGGGCTGGGGGGATGGGTGAAAATGGTGAAGGTTATTAATAAGTACAAATAGGGAGTTATAAAATAGTCACAGAGAGGTAAATTAAAGTACAGTATAGAGTATGTAGTCACCTCATAAGTTATATCTGTCTAATCCTTATGCTGTATACTTGAAACTAATATAGTATTGTATATCAACGGTAATTGAAAAATAAAATAAAAAACACCCTCCCACGAGGAAGAAGCGTTCCTCAAGCAGCTTAGTTATTATTTGGAGAGTATTATTAATGCTTGTTGAGATCTTAGAGCACCCTGTCCCTTGGGTCATCTTTTGCTAAGCTATGTTGAAGTCCAGCCCTCCTTCTTCTGGAGTGAGGCCAAAAGTGTGGGGGTGGCCAGAATGGAAGAGTTCCTATCAGAAATTGGCAGAACTGAGATTAGAAGTCAGGTGGTGGTGGCTCTAGCCAGTTTGATGACTGAGAAACTGGTGAAAATGACTGGATTCTGGATGCTCAAAGGTGAAACAAGCAGGATTCCCTGAAGAGTTTCCTGGGAGATGCAGGAAACAGAGATTGGGTCAATGATTTCACCAGGTTTTTGTCCTGAGCAACTGCATGGATGCAGTTGCCATCAACCTGGAAAAGGCAACCTGAGAGAAGGTTTGGGAAGTAAAATCTGGAGATTAGCTTTGGATAGGTTAATTTCAAGATGGTGAGTGGACAAGAGACTGAAGTTTGTGAGAGATGTTTTACGGGAACCTATGCATTTGAAGTCATTGTCATAGAGAAAGTGTTTCAAGTCACCAGACTGGATGACACTGCCAAGGCAGGGAGTAGAGAGAGAAACAGAAGAAGATTGAGGACTGAGCGTGAGAAATTGGGGAAAGAATAAGAACCAGCAAAAGGGACAGAGAAGAGAGCAACCAGTATGGGTGCAGGAACAACAGAACAGGGCCTGGAAGCCACTGGGAAATCCACCAAAGAGGAAGAATGATTGGGGACTTTGAGCAGAGGAGGCTTTTGGAGAAGTGAGGCTGAAAGTATGCCTATAGTGGGTTTAAGAGATTAATAGTGGGTTTAAGAGATTATGAGAGGAGAGAATTGGAGACTGTGAGGTAGATAATTGTTTTAAGGACTTTACTGCAGAGAGGGAAAGAGAAATGGGATGATAGCTAAAGTAACTGAGAGAAGGTTGGTTTGTTTTTTAGGATGAAAGAAAACAAAAGTGTATTCAGATGCTGATGGAAAAGCTGTAGCAAACAGCACACAATGATGTAGAAGGGAAGTGGGGATCAGGGAGAAGAGAGAAACACATGGAGTAATAACCTTGGATGGGCAGAGAGGACAGGGCTGCTGTGCAGAGACATTGGTTTTACATGAAGACTCATCTATAGCTGCAATTTCCCATCTAGTAGCCAAGTGGCTCCCGAGGACTTGAGATGTATTGTAAATGTAAAATGCACACTGGATTTCAAAGATGTGGCCCCCAAAACACAAAATATTGAATTGATAGTTTTTAATACATATTAAAATGACATTTTGGATTTATTGGGTCAAATAAATGTATTATTAAGATTAATTTCACCTGTTATTTTTTCACTTTCTAATACAGAGACTAGAAAATGTAAAGTCACATTCGAGGATTACGTTACATTTCTACTTTATAGCACTGGTATGGGATGGCGCATTCATTTATACATTTCTATGGTTGCTTTCATGATGGGTTGAGTACTTGCAATAGAGACCAGATGGCCTGCAAAACCTAAATGTTCACTATCTGCTCCTTTTCCGAACACCTTTGATGACCTCTTTGTCCATGAAGATGGGCAGGAAGGTGAGCACGTGAGTAAATGTACAGGTTGGTGGGTACCAGTGCATTATCTGTATAACTTCATCTAATTTTCTGAACAATATCAAAAGGTAGGTAATATTTTATAAACATGGAAAGTGATACTAAGAAAAGTCACATGCTTAGAGTAACAGCAATGAAGCTACAGGTAAGGGACTTGAAACTGTTGTGATTCTGAGAACACCTCTGTTTTCTTTGGTGTTTGGTGAAGAAGCTTGGTGGGGTTTTCCAATGATTTCCTAAAGATAGCTCAGGTGAAGCCCAAAGGAGCATTGGTCAAGAGGGATACTTACCATGTCCCTGTAAGGATGGGAGCTGCTGTGGACATATTGGGAGTTGATAACCATATCTGCAATGAAGAGCATGATTCCAAGCACAGAGCAGACTGCACTGGTGATACTCAGGCCCATGCTACCTTTCAGCTGAAGAAGACACAGAGGGACAGTATGAGAGAGGAAAACAATTGCAGCTGAGATGAGCAGAGACTCAACAAGTGCTTCATAGTGTGAATTCATAGAACCCTAGATGTGAGGCAAGTAAAGAGATATATTGTGCAAAATCGATTTGATGGAAAATTAACTTTGAAAACACCTGGGTTGAACAAAGTTAAATAGGTCTTTTGTGCAGGACTTCTCAGAGTCTTTAACAAGGATTAAGGATCACCTATCGAGGAGACTACTAAATAGAAATCCCTCCCAAGTTTATCTAACCATCTTCATGAAGTATCTCTTGGGATAAGTATCCCATGAATAATGTTTAGGAAACACTTGACTCATTTATCTCACAGGAAATGGCCTGAAGATTTAGCCCAAGTGTTTTAGGATGTGACAGGTTCTGATGCTCCATGATTCTGGCCCATGTGCAGAGAGACATGCCCAGAATTGATCTTCCCTGTGGAGATTTTAAAATAGATCTCATCTGGTTTGGGACTGGTTCAGTTTGGGGCTCCTTGCATCACATAACCTGCTCATAAGAGAAACAAAGGTACTTTCTTGGTCCAGTGCTTGAGGACCACAAAGCCTTGCCCATGTTAATTCACAGAACTTGTTTGGAAGGATTCCTTTGCCTGAGCCTCCCCTGGCTTCCCTGTAGAAATGTTGGCACTGGGCTCCGTGTGCTGAAGACAGTCAATGCCTGCTCTGCTGGAGGGGAGCCCTGCACCCCAGGTAGCTTTTTTGCCTCCTCTTGTAAGATCCTCTTAGGAAAGTTATTCTCTCTGTCTCTCCATACCCTGAAGCTGCCCTTCCTTCCACCAAATCTTCTGGACTCTTTCCCATTTGTGACTCTGTCCAGGTTCATGTGGTCTTGTAAGTGAGTATGAATGAGCATACATGTCAGTGCCCTGTGTCTGGTTATAAGTAGGTGCAAGGATGAAGGAGACATTGTGTGTGAGCTTCTTTCCCCTGCTGTGTGTCTCTCCTAAGAGTCCATGGTTCAGAGAGCCTGTCTCAGGATATGACTTACCAGGCAAGAAGATCTTGGTTGCTGTTCTGATGCCACTGAGAGGGATCCTGAAATGATGAACTGGCACAGAAGAAAGGGAGTTTAGAAAGTGGTCAGAGGTCAGGGCCCCACCTCCAGGCTTCCATGCTTTTGGTCTCACACATATTCTCTCATACATGCTAGGATCCTCTACTGGGACCTCCCACTCAACTTGTGGAAAATAAATTAATTAATTAATAAAGGAAGGAAGGAAGGAAGGAAGGAAGGAAGGAAGGAAGGAAGGAAGGAAGGAAGGAAAGAAGGGAGGAAGAGCTATTTTGCATCACTAGACAGGGCAGTGAATTGGGATAATATATCTTTTAGAATCCAGTATACCTGGTTTTAAACTCTAACTTGAAACTCATGTGATCTTGGGTAAGTTATTAATTTTTCTTAGTGTATATTTCCTCTTCAAAAAATGGGAAAAACTATATATCTTCCTAAGTGTTATTATCATGAGACTAGAGGCCCAGTGCATGAAAATTCGTGCACTCGGGGGGATCTCTCCGCCCAGCCTGCACGCTCTCACAATCTGGGACCCCTCAGGTAGGGTCCAGTCCCATCGCAGCATGGCTCTTATTTCCAGGGCCTGCGGGCCTGGGTGGGGAGGGACCAAGATTCCCAGATTGCAGCATGGCTCTGGTTCCCCAAAGCCTACGGGCAGCAGGAGGGACCCAGAGGCCAGTCCGATGACAGCATGGCTCCATTCCCACAGCTCCCTCCCACCACCATGCCACAGGCCACCAGGACCCAGGACTGACTCCTGCCACGCCAGCCAGGACCCTAGCCTGGTGTTCGGTTGTCCATCCAGACGTTTAGGTCATGACAGACCCTGGTTCTTTATACATTAGGATAATTTGTCACTTGCATCTAACATTTAGATCCTGTACATAGTAGATCCGGTACATCAAGCATGTCAAACTCATGGCCTGTGGGCTGCATTAGGCCCACAACAAATATTTTTGCAGCCCAGCCAATATAATGGTATGTAAGGATCATTTTAATAAAAATTTTGTAACTTAATTTTTATAATATCCTGTTATACATAATTATTAATAACAAAGTACAATGTTCGATAATGACTGATTACCATAATCGTGTTGCATTCATTTCCCTTACTTGCCTTATGCGCAGGCTCACCATCTCTCTCCACTAATACTAGCAGCAAATATTTTAGCAGCCAATTGCCAGGTCATTAGTCTTGGACTGATTTGTTTGGTGTGCACAACAGGAAATACTTCACTTTCGGAAAACAAGAAAATAGGTTTATTTGCGTTACGTTTATTAATTTGGGTAGTTATTCAGTTTCTGGTAAGTTAATGTTTAAGAAAAAATATTAATTTTTATTAAAATGTTCTCTTATTTTATGTTAATTATTACTCATTTATTTCAGCCCTTTGTATTCAGCATGCCTCTATTGAAATAAACCTACATTTCTATGAAAATTGAAGCTTTTGTTTTTTTGCGACCCACATGAACTTAAACCTTGTTTATTTGGCCTGTGTTAGACTTTGAGTTTGACATGCTTGCTGTACATAGTAGATACTCAATACAATTACTTCTTTTATTGCCTTTTATTTTCCCACATGCATATCTTGTTGGCCTCCCAAAAGAAAAATGGCATTCGTCTTAGAAGGTACAGGTGGCTAGAGTAAGTTTTCATTGTGAATACCAATACTCAGGCACGGGGGCTCTGGAGGGAAGAAGGAAGGGGTTCTTGCATTTTCACTGCTTTGAGATACAAGCCCAAGGTCAGTCCTTGCCCATCTACAATTTGGTGAGTACCTTTTAGTTACTCAGAAGAATGTTGCATCTCTACGGTGCGGAACAACTATGAGTGTAACAGGTAGATTGAGTGCATTTATTTCAACATTGGTGTTCTGCAAGCATAGTGGCTAATGGGATTCCCTGCTGTTAGTGAGGGTCAGCGAGGGCATCAGGTATGGTTTAATAAATGCTTTACTCAGCCCTATGTAAACTGCTGGTCCTTTTGAGGTACCTAAGGAGAGGGCCTTTGGTTTGAAGGAGGTCCATATGATCTTTAGGAAATAGATAGTCCTGGAGTCAAAAGGCAACAAAGAGCCTAAGTGTCCTGCAGGAAAAAGGGAGGATGGTGTCATGAGGGCTGATGAGACCTGAGCAGCCTGGTGGAAGGGGAGATGGCCACTAAGGCCTTTGAAATGCCTTAAGAGAATCTAATACTCAATAGGAACTGTTTTGTGGCTGTGGTGTCAGTCTTCTCCATTTCTCCAAACTCCACAGAAGTCTGCTATACACACAGGTGTCTGTGGTTGGCTGAGTTCCAAGTCTGGGTCTGTGCAAAACAGTGAGAGGACCTAGGCCTCAGAAGATGAGACACGAATGGGATCAAGAGAGAGCAGGTGCTCAGACAAAAATACTCCCAAGAATCTAAATCCTACCATTTTGCAGATGCTGTGTGTGTGTGTGAGGGTGGTGGACAACTATAGGCTATTTTATTTAAATCTCATGGTATATGGTCACTTGGCTGATGTCCAGGTTACTCTGGAGTTTTGCCATTTGTGAGAAAAGTTGCCTTGGGTTATAGATATGTGAGTTGAGAGGAAAAACTGTTATAGCAGGGAGAAAAGGAGATGGTTGGTGAGAAAGGGATTGGATTGCGAGTGTGTGTGTGTGTGTGTGTGTGTGTGTGTGTGTGTGTGTGTGTAGGAGGGAGGGCACTAAGGAAAATGAAAAAGAATCATAAAGGCAATATATTGGAGAAGAGAAAGGACCTGTTGTTCTTAACCTTTTAAGGGGTTCTAGGTCACCCTGAGAATGTGATAAAAATGATGGGCTTTTCCAGAAAAAACAAGCAAACAAAAACATCTAATATAACAAATATTTTGCAAAAAGGTGGACTCTGAGCCTATCAGTGAACCCCAGATTGAGTACCTACTGCTTCATGACTGTTCTGTGACTGGACAGCCACTCTTAACCCCTGGTGGAAATGTTCTTCTCCTGGAGCTCCAGCTGTGGGCCTGATTTAAACAACATGTGTGCACTGGGCTGATGAACTAGGAAAAGGTTTCCTTACCTCTGAGGTGGGCTAATTAGAAAGCTGCCCACTCTGGGGCAATGGCACCTTGCAAGGCTGTCACTTGTTATTACCTGAATCTTATCTCCTCATAATCCATCTTTTGAAGTCCAAACTCCTAGGACCTCCAAATGTGGCTGTACAGTTGTTTCCAGACTCACAATAGTTGGGCTTCTAATTTTTTTGACTTTACAGTGGTGTGAAAACCTAATGCATTCAATACAAACTGTACTTTGGATTTTGAATTTTTATCTTTCCCAGGTGAGCAACATGTGGTAAGATACTCTCTGGTGATGCTGGACAGAAGCAACCAGCCTGAGCTCCCTGTCAGCCATGAGATCATGATGGTAAACCACCCATTCTTTGTAGTGTAGTATTTAATGCACTTTTCTTAAAAAATATTTTTTTTTACTGATTATAGAGAGGAAAGGAGAGGGAGAGAGAGACAGAAACATCAATGATGAGAGAGAATCATTGATTGGCTGCCTCCTGTGTGCCCCACCTTGGGAATCGAGCCCTCAACCCAGGCACATGCCCTTGACCGGAATCGAACCCGAGACCTTTCAGTCAGTAGGCCAACACTCTATCCACTGAGCCAAACCAGCTAGGGAAGACTCAGGATATTTTCAATTTTACAATGGGTTATTGAAATGTAACTCCATCATAAGTTGAAGAGCATCTAAATTTGAAGATAGTGCCTTTAAAGAAGTGATTAGAGTTAAATGAGGTTATATGGGTGGGCCCTAATCCAATATGACTGATGTTCTTATAAGAAGAGATATGAGGACACAGACACACACAAAGGGTAAACCAGGTGAAGACACAAGGAGGAAGATGACCATCTACATGTCAAGGAGAAAGGCCTCGGGAGAAACAACCCTTCCCACACCTTGATCTTGGACTTCCAGCATCCTGAACTATGAGATAATAAATGTCTATTGTTTAGCCACCCAGTCTGTGGCTTCCCAAGAGGACTAATATTCTTGGTGAACAAGGCCTGAGCTGGTTTCACAGCCCACATGCTCTATTGAGGTGGGCTAATTAGAAAGCTGCCCATGTACTCTATTGGCTGGAAATTTTCTGCAGCAAAATACACCACTTGCTAAGGTGGAACTGAGTATGTTGGCACTTTCTGGAACTCACTTGCAGGGCGACTGACATTACTTACCAAGATGCCTCCCCAGAAGGGATAGCCTCCATAGAATGAGATAGCTGTGTAGCCCCAAGGCAGGATGGTCCCCAGGATGATGCCCAGGCCAATGTGTATCAGGCCGATCAGGATCTGGATGGCCTGTCAGGGGAGCCAGAAGCTGACACCTTTGTTTCTCAGGCTGGATCTTAACCCTGTTCCCTTGTGCTTCCTTTTAATTTTAATAAATATTTTGTTCTATTGGTCAATAAAGTCCTATTTAAAATGTACAATTGAAACAATACTTCCCATAATTTCACCCCACTCAAAGAAAACAAATATTTATATTTTGGTGTATAGCCTTCGATTATTTTTTCCAAATATATACACTGATAATACAAAATGACTCTGCATATTTAACTTAATATTTCATGATGAATATGTCCCCATGGTATTAAGTATTCTCTGAATATATGTTTTTTTAAGGATTTCCCAGATATATTGGGCAGGTATAATATGTTTCCATATTATAAACAACACTGCAATGAACATCATTTTGGAGATAACTCTTTCTGCTCATCTTTTATTTCTTTGGAATATTGCTTTAGATTTGATTGGGTCTTCTCTTCCTCATCAAATTAACCTATATATATAAAAGGCTAAGCAACTGTCTGACCATCCAACAGGTAGCTATGACACTCACTGACCCCCAGGGGGCAGATGCTCAACACAGGAGCTGCCCAGCTGTGGTGACTTGGCAGCTGCAGTTATCGGGTGATGCACCCTGGAACCATAGAGGAGGGAGCCTGATTCCGGGGTGCATCACCTGAAAACCACCTTCTCGCAACCTGGAACCCCTTAGGGCATTGGTTCTCAACCTGTGGGTCGCTACCCCTTTGGCGGTCGAACGACCCTTTCACAGGGGTCGCCTAAGACCATCCTGCATATCAGATATTTACATTATGATTCATAACAGTAGCAACATTACAGTTATGAAGTAGCAACGAAAATAATTTTATGGTTGGGTCACAACATGAGGAACTGTATTTAAAGGGCCAGAAGGTTGAGAACCACTGCCTTGGTGGATATCGGAGAGCCAGTTTCGGCCCAATCCCCACAGGCCAGGCGGGGGATCCCACCTGCCGGAGGGATCCTGCTCACTCCACAGATGCCCTTCGAGCCACAGCGCCACCCCAGGTGTGGCCAGCCGGGAAGGGACCACAGGAGGTGGGCTCCAGGGTGTGTCCAGCCCTTCTTGCCCAGTCCCGCCCCACCAGCCACCTTCTAATTAATTTTCTTTAATGTGCATGAATCCAGGAAGGGACTGTGGGAGAGAGAGTGGCAGAGAGAGTGAGAGAGACGGGGAGAGAGAGAGAGAGAGAGAGAGACTGAAATACTGATGTGCGTGTGAGAGACACATCAATTGGCTGGCTCCCACACATGACCAGACTGGGACTGGGTATTGAACCTGCAACCCAGGTATGTGCCCTTGACTAGTAATCAAACCTGTGACCCTTTGGTGCACAGGCTGTCATTCTAAAACTGAGCAACTCTGACCAGGGCTCAAATTAATATTTTGAAGTTCAAACCTCCAGTGCCTCAGAATGGGATCTCATTTGCAAATAGGGTTGCTGTAGATATAGTTAGGTAATATGAGGTATACTATAATAGGGTGGTCCCAATATGACTGCTATCTTTTTAAAGGAATGCCATGTGAAGAGAAACGTGCACACAGGAGATTGCCAAATGGGAGTTATGCTGCCACAAGCCAAGGACCTACCAGAAGCCGGGAGACTGGCCTGGAACAGATCCACCCCTAGAACCTTTAGAGGGAGCATGGCCCCATGGATACCCTGATTACAAACTTCTGAACTGAGACATTAAATTCTTTGTGTTCTAAGCCACCCCATTGGTAGTACTTCATGGCAGCTTTAGGAAACATATATATTCTTGCCCAAATGATACATAAACACACACATATATATATTTGTGTGTGTGTATATATATATTTCAACAGACTTGAGGCTGGGAATTGAGAATGTAGTACTCTAATTTCAAAATAGCTCACTGTATTTGTATATGTATACATAGCACAAACATGACAGAGAATACAAATATATTATTTCATTAAATTTGTAAGAATGGTAGCAAATTATACAAAATGTCTGCCCCCAATCATTTTTCTTAATAATGATATAACTTGGAGGTATGTCCATATAATTAAAGCCAAGGAGTTTTATTTTTATCTAAAAAAGATATTTTGTATTTAAAAATATGTTATCATTGATTTGAGAGAGGAAGGAAGAGGGAGAGAGAGAGAAACATTGATTGGCTGCCTCCTGCACGACACCTACTGGGGATGGCGTCTGCCAGTGGGCGTGTGCCCTGGCTGGGAATAGAGCTGGCAACCTCTGAATACATGGTATGATGGTCAAACAACTGAGCCACACCAGCCAAGGAAAAGAATTTCCTTTGTATAGCGCCATCACATTTCATTCTTTAGACATATAATATATAGATTTAACTGGTATTATATTGATGAATACTTTGGTTGTTTCCATTCTTTTCCTATTGTAACAGGGTAAAAACCTCACATCTAATTGATTAATCAAAGATTAAAAGTAAGAATATACTAATAAAACTTACAGTCTTAAATATTAATAATTTCATATTTAAGCATGTTAAGGCAGAAGCAGTTCCCAGTTGCCCTTTTCACTAGCCTCTATCATAAATGTGTAATACATGCCGATGGCTGGCCAGGCTGCAATATCCTGTTCCCCTAAATAAAGCCCACAGCAAGAGAGAGAGAAAAAAAAAAAAACAGGTGCTGACAGACATGAAAAAGATCATCAAATGCACATGAGAACTCAAATGTGAAACTAATGTCATCAGAATGCCTTAATGCCCTTCTTTCCATAATCTCTCTATAACAGCCTTTTGTCTATCCTGAGACTTTAAGATGGTTGCTAAGGCATGAGCCTGCCATCTTCTCAGGTAGTCAGCACCTAAATAAATCACTTTCCTTCCTTCCATCAGCAACGGTGTCGTGTATTTGGCTTCACAGCAGCAGGCAAAAGACCCTGAGGGTCGTTTGTGCCAGTTTCACTACAACAAACTTAGCTGCAATAAATAACCTCATACATGTCATATTTCTTATGTGTACAGGCGTCTGAAGGACAAGTCTCAGAAATTGAATTATTGTGTATTTTAAAATTTGGCAGATACAGAAAGCCCTCTATACAGGTTGTATCCACTGACATTACTATGAGTTGTATATGGGGGTGAAGTTAGGATTTGAACTCAGGCAGCCTGAATCAGAATTCATGCATGTCTTGCCCTCGCTGGTATGGCTCAGTGGATAGAGCATTGGCATGCAGACCTAAGGGTCCCAGATTCAATTCTGGTCAAGGGCACGTAGCTCGGTTGCAGGCTCTTCCCCAGTCCAGGACCAGGCCCTGATCTGGGCGCATTCAGGAGGCAACAAATCAATGTGTTTCTCTCACATTGATGTTTCTCTCTTTCTCTCTCTCTTTCCTTCTCTCTAAAAAATCAATGGAGAAATATCCTCAGGTGAGGATTAACAACAAAGAAAATCCAAGCCTGTCTTCATTCACCCAAGCAATGAAATGGGCTTTCCCTTGTCCCACCCAGCACATTGAATTTAGAATCTACCTTTTGGCTCTCTGGACCCACCTTCTTCCAGAGGCCACATGGGTCAACATGGATTCTGGCAACAGGACCAACATTCCAATTTACTGGTTCTTTGTTGCTTTTCTTTCTCTTTACTAAAATACCCAAGATAGATAATACAAGGCCCCGCACAGAGGCCCTCGTGATGCTGTAGAGGTGAGCTTTTAATAGACCTGAGTTTGGCAAAGCTGGGTCAGCTGCATCCCCACTTGCTGGCTTTGGAGTTTCTATATTTCCAAACCTCCTCCCACCCCTGACTCCAGCCGTGTGGCCCGTGCACACAGTATGAAATCTCACTTACCCCTAAAACTTTGCCCTCTTTTAGGATCTCTGGGCAGGTTGCATAGACACAGGCGGCTCCAAACCAGGTTGGTTTCCAGGAATTTGGTGGACTTGGGGTTGGCTGAGTGGATACAGGGGCACCTGAGACATGCCTCCGGAGATCACAGGATACCCGTGGTGGGATGCCATCACAAAAACAGAATTGGCCGTGGGCCCTGCTGAAGTCATCAGATTCGTGCTGTTAAGGTGTAAATGCAGTAGAGTCAACCCTCACATGTGCACTAATGTTTACATTGAAACAGGACTTGTGTTTTCATTAACTCCTTTGAGCATCTAAACCCCCCATGAGTTTATTGGTAGCAGTTAGAAGGCACGTATGCAGTTACTGCTTTACAAATACATCTCCTAGATTCCTCTCACCTGGCCAGTTTTCCAGGTGAGAAAAATAAGCCCCAAAGTGGCTAAGAACTACGGAGGGCAGGGCTGTGTCATTTTCACTTCAGTATCCCCCATTGTGCTTAGCAGGGTGCTTTGCACAAAGTGGTATTCAACATTGCAGGGCTGGAGAGTCTCCCGGAGGACAGTGTGTCTAATTCTCTTAATTTCTGCAAAGGGAAACTGAGGCTGGGAGCATGGAAACAAATTCCCAGTCATATAAATATTCATTAAATAGAGATCTTTATCCTTCAAGGAAGCCCATTGACAGAACTGATTATATTCACTGGGGGTTTCATGCTGCTCTATGTTCTAGGTCACTTGTGAATTATGGTTTTGTTTTTAAAGTTTCTTTCCTCTTTCTTTCTTTCTTTTTTTTTTTTTGAGACACAAAGTAAGTTAAATTTATTTTGCTTATTCCACTGTGCATTCATTTGAATTCAGAATGCTTATGTTTCATGTAGGAAATTAAGAGAAAAAAATTAAAGTGAATTATAATAACATATCAGGAAGCAACTTTTAAATAAACCTTAGGTAAAGGTGATAATTCATAGAATTCCATAAAGGTAGCATAACAAATACATTTGAAGACAAGATGGTACATCCTTAGAAATACTCAAGAAGTTAGCACCTCTAGCTGAAAAGTCTTTATAATTTTTCTTAAAGGATAGCACTTTGTATTAGGAATTACAAATTTAGCAGCTTCAAAAAGAATTCACTTATTAGCTCATGTCTGTGAAGGTCAGAAGTCTGGCATGGCTGGGGTCCCTGATTAGGCTTTGACAAGGCTGAAATCAAAGTGTCTAACCTAACTGAATTCTTTTCCTTCCTCTTTTTTTGAAGCACATCCTCAAAAGCTAGTACAATAAACCCTGCCTTGGGCTCATCCTCACACCCACAGTTATCATTTGGCAGAAAAACCTTATCAGCATGCCTGAGCTATCCATAGAATCCCTTAGATTAAGTATACTCACTTTGTTCTGCCAGTGGCTAAGTCTCCCTTGCTTCTCTTCCCCAGGGCTTGTTGTAGGCAACTTGTTTTTTTCCCCCGAAAGAACAAAGGCACCAGGTTCAGTTACAAAATATATTTAGAAATATCCGAAACAAAGTCCTTCTCCTAGGTGCAGGGCAGGTTAGAGCTGCCTAGAGCTCAGCTTCCCCACCCACATATACTTCCTGTAATTGACAAGAAACCAATCAAATGTTGTTCAATTAGATAAGTGTTTAATGGTATCTGTGTGGAGAAGAAAGGGTTTTGCTTCAACTGGGCACTCAGGGTTACTGCATACAGCTTCATCTAGGACAGAATAACAAATCCCTCAGGGGAGAAACAGGAACCCTTCATCATGTAGTTTTGAGAGTGGGGAAGGCATGTAATAAGAACAGAGCCACAGTTTTCTAATAATTATTCACCTTACTTACTTAATAAGAAGTTTTCTTACAGACTCTGGGAAACTGGAGTATGAAACAAGGCTGTAAAAAGATAAGATGCCTCGATGGGTCCATTACTTAGAAAAGAAATAAATTTTGAAAACAGATCAAGAACAGGACATGCTTTTATTTGGTTACTGTGCCCGAATCCTGACCGGTCAGGGAGTATTTTTCTGAATGCTGACCATTCTCGGGGCCCAGGAATGGACTGAGCTGTTTGTAACATCATAGATTAAACACCTGGTTATCCAACTTTGAGCTCCTGAAGGCCAGACTGCAGACCCTCCCCTCCCCTTTCCATGTTATACTTGCAGCTCACAGCTGCACGTAGCTATCTTCTCACTCCTCTGTGTATATAATCAGCCAACTGGTGAGGGGGGTCAGAACAGAATTCCCAGGGTGACAAACTGCTCTCCCCATACTACCGGCACTACTGGAATAAATGCTCATGTATGATTCAACCCTGCCTCTGCTTAATTTGGCTCAAGTACTGACACGCAGCCTCGGACCCATTGTGTCCAGTTTCAGTTTCATTGCTGCACCAGCAGTTTCATTGCTGGCTTCCGGGAATGGGAACAGGACGTTCAGGCAGCATTTCTGTGGTCACTTGCCCAAATTCTAATAGTCAGGCAGGAACTAACTGCAACTGCAATATGCTTATATGGACACTGTCTGTATGTGAGTTCCTTTAGCAGGTTTTTAGTACATTTTATTCTAATTCCAATTCATGCTTAGTCATGTCTGTCATTTCCTAAAGCCCACTCAGTTCTAGAAAACCCAGCCATTCCTGACTGGCTGATGGGCAGCCATTGGCTCCCTGGTCAGAGAAGCTGCAGGTGCAGAAAGAGACAGAACTCTGAACATCAAGCCATTGAGAGGAAACTTCTTAGGCAAAGTCAGAGCCTAAAAATATTTACAAGAGTAAAAACATGTCTGTACTTAATAATATAAAAAGAGAAAGTCATTGCCGGGCTGTGCAACAAAGGAAAACTGGATGGCACCTGGGATTTAGAGATTATTTCTATAATCTGCTGGCACGTAACCTTTAGGGAACCAATTGGCCATCATGGGTGACAATATTTAAATTGAAGGTGTACAAATCTAGAAGTTACAGACATAGCTATTTCTCTTTGAATTAGTTCCTATCCTTTGGTAAATAAAAGATATAGCCTCATAACTTTGTAAAATATCTTAAGACAATATTTGTTCTTGAGTACTATTGCATCGATGGCAACAGCATTTAAAAAGCCTAATAATTTTAGACGATGAACTCTCTCCAAAGGTCTTCTCAAAATTGTAGTTTATTGCACTAAAAACAACTTAGAAACCACACTCTCAAAACTGTGGTACTGTGGGAACCCTCTTCAGAGTACGCTGGATGTTCAAGGCCAATCTGAGCGTGGGAACCCTAATCAGGATGTTCAAAGCCAATCTGCGCAAGGACATAGCAATCTTTCTGTGTACACTTTGCAGGCATGCCTGCATAGCCCAAGTATTGAGGTCACTATTTGGCAAGAAGCCACTTTTGTCTAAGTTAGTATAAAGTATGTTACTGACCAGCCAGTGAGAGGCTGCCTGGTCAGACTACTTTGTGTGATAGCTCCTATGTTACTAAGGCTACTTTTATGTATGGGGCTACTTGTCTACAAGGGCTGCCTTGTGCGGCTACTTGGTCAGGCTACTTTGTTAGCAATGGCTCCTGTGTTTACTACTCTACTAGCAAGGGCCGCTTTGTGTTTACTATTGTTTTAGCAAGAACTACTTTGTGGACAGCCTTGTTGGCAACAGCTACTTAGTCTACAATAAAGACTCTCTTATATGCCTATGATTGCTCATATTGTCTTCTCTAATACCCAGCACCCATGAAGGTCCAGTTCCTGGCAGGGGAACTGAGACCCCACAGTTAGCACAGTGAAGCAGAATCAAGGAAGAACTTACTCCAGCAATTGGTGAAGCAAGCAGGATTAAGGAGTAAGTACTCCCCAGCAGGTACTTTACCCAAGGGAATACAATCTATACTAATAATAGCCTACGTGGCATCACGACCTCACGTCGTCACAAGATGGCTCTCACGAAATGGCCATCACAAGATGGCTATATGCACAGCAGAGTCAGGGCCCAGTGGCCACTCCACGTGATGAGTCCTGGGGGTCCCACGGCTCTGCGCAGCATGGAGGAGGCTGGTCCTGGCATCTCCGCTGCCTCGCGCAAAGGAGGCGGGTCGTGGCAGAGGAGGCAGGTCGCAGCAGGGGAGGGCAGCTGTGGGCAATCAGGCCAGCAGGGGAGGGCAGCTGTGGGCAATCAGGCCAGCAGGGGAGGGCAGTTGGGGGCCATCAAGCCCTGGCAGAGGAGGGCAGTTGGGGGCTATCAGGCCGGCAGGGGAGGGCAGTTGGGGGCCATCAAGCCCTGGGAGAGGAGGGCAGTTGGGGGCTATCAGGCCGGCAGGGGAGGGCAGTTGGGGGTGATCAGGCCAGCAGGGGAGCAGTTGGGCATCAATCAGGCTGGCAGGGGAACGGTTAGGGGTGATCAGGCGGGCAGGAAGAAGCAGTTAGGGGCAATCAGGTAGGCAGGCAGGCAAGCAATTAGGAGCCAGCGGTCCCAGATTGTGACAGGGATGTCTGACAGGAATCAGACCTAAACCGGCAGTTGGACATCCCCGAGGTGTCCCAGATTGGAGAGAGTGCAGGCCGGGCTGAGGGTCACGCCCCCCCTACCCCCACCCCCTGTAGGTCTCTAGTGTGGCAATATAAAAGAAAGAACTCTTAACACTTATAACAGCCTGGATAGCCTGGAGAGTATTATGCTAAGCAAAGTAAGCCAGTCACAGAAACATAAGTATCACCTGATCTCACACATATGTGGAATCTAATGATCCAAATAAAACTGATGAACAAACATAGATCCAGTCATAGAAGCATGTTGAACCTTAGAGGGAAGGCAGAGGAGAGTGGGTGGTAAGAGATCAACCCTGACCTTGTATGCATATAACCCGTGGACACAGACAATGGGGTGGTGAGAGCCTGGGGTGGGGGACAGAAGTGGGCTGGAGGAGGTTAATGGGAGAAAAAGAGGAACATATGCAATACTTTCAACAATAAAGATTAAAAAAACACCCCCAAAACGACACTCTCTCCTTTGATACCCCAACAAATGCTGCTTCTTCAAACACGCTTGTTCTCTGCTTCCCCCATCACTGCCAGAATAAATCATTTTCATCTCTGATCTCTCTCTACACACCCCTAAATTCTATCATGTGTTATAGAAATATGATTGCATGTTCTTCTTCTCTTGTGAGGCAGAAGTTCCTTGAAGTCAAAGACTGCAAGTCACCATGTTCAACCTAGTCCTGCCGTTAATAGAGTTTTAAACATATCAAATGCTCAGTGCACTTTTATTCAGTGACAGTGATTGGGAGAATGAAGCTTGTGACGTCTAGACACTTGTTCCATTAGCTCATGAGCTCACACAGGTAAACACATGAATATCTGCACTAGACATCCCACAGGTGGATGTCCTAGGGAGGACCTCTTTGCTAAAATTCACTTTAAAGTCCTGTCTCCGTTTAAATGGAGGAACAGCATGATTAACCAAGCTGAAGTGAATGAAGTCCAAGGTGCCAACAGTTGGAGAGACACATTCCTTAGTTTGTCAGGGGGAAAAAAAGCTGAGTTTCAGAAGCCCAGAAAGGAGAGTTCTTCTTTTAGTTCCAGTGAAAGATGCTTCTAGAACCTTTGGCTTATTTGGAGTCCTGGATCTCACTGAAATAAGATGGTGGAGAGTTCACTGGTTCTGGATTGGCCACTGGGTTTGTCACATAGACAGTTTGAAAGACCACAGTGCCCTGAAAAAGACAGGTACATGGAGGTGCGTTAGTGAGAACCACAATTGCACAAGGCTTTAGATATTCCGGGACTCCCCATGTGCCTGGAGAGGAAACAAAAGCCTAACAACCTTTCTAGTGCCCACATTATTTAGGGCATCTTCCCATCCACTGCGGGTCCTACACACTCACGTTGTTGTGTGAATAGTGGAATAGTTGGCAGCCAAAGTGGGCAGACCTGCAGGCAATGCAGAACTCCAAGAGGCTAAAGATGAACAACACAGTAGAAGTAGTCACTTCAGAGACCTGGAACGAGAAGGATCATGGAGGTCATGAGTGGTGCCCTAGGAGTGTGAGGTCTGGCTCAAAGCATGGCTCTGCAATGGACCATGGCTAGGGCTTTGAGGAAGACCTCTAACCTGGTCTTAGACTCATGGAGAAAATGTCTCCCCAGGTTATGTGACGGTCAAGTGTGTTTGCAAAAGAATTATTTTAACACTTAGTACATGTGTTCTTCTAAGGAAAAGAATAGTCATTGTATAGGGAAACACCTTGAGGATTTGATTCAAGTAGAGGTGATGAGACCTAAGAATGGGGTCTGGAGTGAGACAGTGAAACACTGAAACTGTTCTGTGTAGGAACCAAAGAGAAATTTGGGAGTATGAACAGTCCTCAGAGAAAGCAAAGAAAGATGGATAGAGGAGAAAGATGGGACTGAGCAACATGAAGGGATGGTAGAGCCTACAGAAAAAGGCATCTTGTGAGAAATTACAAAGCAGGGTTGTCTAATCTCCAAGCATCAGTAGTCCCTCCACCAACCCTCCGAAACTTTAGAGAAAGTCAG